GTAGCTTCTTTCCCACCGAACTTTTCAGAATATGTGAGCGATTCCGAATGACAGAAATTGCTAAATCATCTTGTTTCAACTTAAGACTCAAGCTCTTAATACAGGGTGAAAGTCACACTACTCAGTAACATAGAATCATAGAACGATAGAATAGTTTGGGTTGGAAAGGACCTTAAGATCATCTAGTTCCAACCTCCCTGACATGAGCAGGGACACCACACACTAAACTAAGGCTCTGTCCAGGCTGGCCTTGAACACCTCCAGGGTTGGAGCACTCACAACTTCCTTGGGCAACCTATTCCAGTGCCTCACCACCCTCACTGTGAAGAACTTCTTCCTTGTATCTAACCTAAACTTCCCCTGTTTAAGAAAACAGGAAAAAAATCTGAAAGCCAGCCCCCCAAACTAGTAAAGAAATCCTATCTATGCCACCATTCATTGCTTCACAAACTTCAGCTCTGTGAATTGAATTCTTCTTACTCAATCTGAAGCTCCTATTACTCAAATTCTATGGCTCTTTAAGAGAAAACTTGAAGTACTTGAAATTTCAAAGATACCTATTTATCAACCCACTGGTGACAGAAGCAGGAGAAGAAAGGAGGGGGGAGGGAATAAAAAAATAAAATCACTTTTAGATTAGGCAATTATATCCTCATAATAACCAATGCAGGTAAAAAAATGTTACCTCATCATGTGTGTATCTGTAATCTGCCTTCTTTGACTTCAGGTCCCATAATACCACTGTTCCAGATTCAAAGCCAATCAGAAGCTGCAACAATAAGCATATATATTAAGTCATTATAAGGATAAGCAAAATAATACCATTTGCAATGCCTGTAGTTCTCGTCCCAAAGAGATGCAGCATAATACTACATGTAGTAACTGCGAGTAGTTACAAAGACAAAACTTAGAAGTAGTGAAAACAACTGACATTCATGCAAAATTAGAAAAATAAATATATAAAGAACACATTCTCCTGAAAAGTCCTTGGAAATCCTTTTGAGTTCCAGAAAGTTTGATATAAAACTTACCTAAGTGCAAGTGTAATCCTTCCAGAATGAAAATGGGAGGGAGGGGGAGTAGTGGTGGTGAAGAGAACTTTACGATGCCTTTTTGTCTCATTGGAATTTGTTCTGCTTAGATACCCTGGAAGAATACACTATCCTTCCTCAAGTTCTAAATAATAGTTTATTGCCTATAAAGGAACTAGGTAATATAAACTTTCTCCAGATGTCCACTGCAATTGAGATAACTAAGGTTCTTAGTGTTCCTTTAGTCAATTAAGAGGAGGAAAGTAAGAGAGAAATTAAACAAAATAATTTTCCAAACAATCTTTTTGCTAGAAGCAAGATTAAACCATTTCTGTAGGAAGTCGAGATTCAAATTGCTCATAATTGGCCTCAGACATTCCTGAGTATCTAAGCGCTTTGCTCTCCTACCTTAAGTGACACTTCTCTTAATGAAAACAAAACAAGGCCAACAGAAGGTAGTAGTAACAGTCTTGGCACTTGTTACATAGAAAGTGGCAATGCAGCTTTATCTCTCATAGCTGCTAGATCTACTGCGAGATCTTTCCTTTGAGCAATGCTGCTACGGGAGAAGCAGCTCAGCATTAAGTAGCATGCCTTCACTCCTACTTCTTTTTCCCAGTATGGATATAAAGAGGAGTGGCTGGCTGCTGGGATTTACTCACTCTTGAAACTGCCTATTTCCCATGAGAAAACAGAACTGTGCTGAGGTGTGTCCTTCATGTTACAAGTTAGAAAACATTACCTTCACACACATGGCACTGTAGTCGAGGCTATAGATGTACCTAGAGGTTTTGCTTGGACAATCTTTTCAGCATGTTAAATTTTTCAAAGTGTACAGTTATTTCCAGTATGAGATATAACACATGACCAGCTTATAGATACAATATTTGATCTACTTCAGTGTTCTACAGCTAAATCTACTAAAATACCCTAAAAATATTAAACATTTGATCTAGTCAAAGTGGATGTTAGATTTTTTCCTCACTACTGTGTCATATACACTATTATTTTAAATGATTTTATCATAAGCCACATTTTATAATTCTCCTATTTTAACTTTAAACAGTAGAAAAATCATGGTGATTGGAAGGCTAATGGCATGAACAAGTTTTAAGAGTAAGTACACAGAATGTTCTTGCAACTGAACTTTTTTTTTTTCAGCAATGATTTTCTTATGGGAAATAAGATGAATGTAAGGTCAGACGCTAAAACACTGTTTGATTGACTGACTGATAAAACCAGTAATTCTTAAACTTTAATTGATAATATTTCAATACGGAGTGACGGTGGAATACACCAGAATAAATAGCTCATTTGCCTTCTGAAATTATCATAGCTTCATTGCATTCATACTCTAGGATCTGTGACTCTGGAATGTGATTCAAACTCAGTTCTACAGAGAAAACCATTAGTTATGCACTTACTGCAGAGAGTTTCATCCCAATGAAAAAACTACTCCTGAAATCTTCCTTGTTTGACTGAAACCTCAGGTGTCTAGGACACAACCTTATAACCAGCATGCTATTAAAACATTCAAAGCTCTACTGAGATAATAGTATCACTCCCTCTCCAGTTTTACCCCCTACTAAAATGGAGGGGCTTTTCACTAAACGAAAGTAAACAAACAAAATTCTCCCTTGTACATGGAACAGTAGTAAACAAAATTATTTTATCTCTCCTTGAAGGTTCTTCACAAGTGGGAGTTCAAAACTCCAGGGTATTTCTGAGACATTATACTGACAAAAAAAAAAATCTCTCAGGATTTGATTCAATCACTTACGCCCCATTAATCTAAAGCAGAGTCATTAATGAAAATCTGTTTAAAGTGGCATCAAGGTGTCTCTGGTTTAACTTATAACCTCACTTTTGTCAGGAGTCTATACACTTCTGGGAAAGATACATCCAAGGCTGCTATCTCCAAATCCTTCTTTCGTATTTTACTTTCCTCCTATTGTCAAAACTAAGGAATCCAATTCCTGCTTACTCTTCAATGTGGACCAAGGGATCTGAAGAAAAGTAAACCCCATGAACAACAGCCGTGAGCATTGTGAAGTTCATGTAATTCCCATCACACTATTTCTGCACTCAGGTTATGACTGGGTTTTTTGGTAACATCTTAATTTTTACCACTGTAAACTTCCTTAATTTTGTTTTCCCAAATTTCTGCAACTAAGGACTTTCAGCCAAGTTTTCAAATGTTTCTGATTACAAGACGCATTCGATTATTCTATTATTGGTCCTACAGTCATGTCTGTAGCTTGTTTCATACTATTTTTAGAGCTTAAAAACTTGATTTAGCCTTCCTTTATACTTTCAACATTGTCCTCATCTACTTAATCCTTCCTTAATTGAACCTAGGACAACTTTAAAAAGAAACTCTTGCTTGGAAAATGTATTGAATAGTATTTAAACATATCCTACCTTTCCTTCATCCATTGGATTGTCACTAATGTGGACAACAGGTCCTGGGTGAGATTTAGATGACCTAAACAAGAAATGTTTCCATTTAATAAAATAAATAAATAAATAAGTAGAAAATATAAAAAAAAAAAAAAAAGGACAACTTTAAAAAGAAACTCTTGCTTGGAAAATGTATTGAATAGTATTTAAACATATCCTACCTTTCCTTCATCCATTGGATTGTCACTAATGTGGACAACAGGTCCTGGGTGAGATTTAGATGACCTAAACAAGAAATGTTTCCATTTAATAAAATAAATAAATAAATAAGTAGAAAATATAAAAAAAAAAAAAAAAAAAAGAAAGAAAAAAGAAAAAAGAAACCAAACCAAAACAACATTCCCCTGCCAAAAACTGCATCTCACAGTAATTGCAACTAATATACATGCTGCAGATATAGACTCCATGTAAACAAGCTACTGACATTTCAGCATGGAGTCACTTTTATCTTCAAGCCCATAAATACTTCCACTATTTTTAGGCACTTAGTTCCGGTCCCCACCCCCCCTTTTTTTTTAGAAAAAAATACGAAGGACTTATTTAGTGCTTATTAGCAACACAAAAAATTGCCATTAGCTTTACAATATCTAAATGTCTGTTGTTACAGCATTGACACAGTTGGATAAAATATTTATTTTAATGCTGGAAAACAAGTCTTTCCATTATTCAGAAAATGCCTAAACTGTGCATTGTTAAAACAACACAGAGTCAAGACATTGCGTTGACTTTGCTATTGAAGAAGATGGACTAAAGACCTATGTTTGTTTGAACAGCTTTTGGGAATTGATAGAATTCTTGTATGTTTTGAAGATAGACATAACATTCCAGAAAAACAAATTAAAAGCCCAGGAACAGCAGCACACAAGTATATATTTTCACCCACAAACCACTGTATTTGCTTACACAATTACTAAAAAAGGAGGAGCAATGACAATAGCTGTAAAATATACTTTGCTGTTGGAATAGGCCTATTTAAATTTAGATTTTCAGCAATTAATTTTATATTGTGCATGATCCAGCCCTCTTACAAAGCATATTTTTATATTTTGCTCTTTAACCCCAAAACTGTAGAAGTGACATGGCTGTCCAAGTACCAGTCACATCGTATTTTAACATACATTGTTTTTCTAGTTCTTTATCACCACAGAATTATTTTATGTCTATATTTACATTATCTATTTCAAGCACTATAATAAAAGTGTTATGGGCAGAAACATATATGCTAACATTTAACTTCACATTTATGAGAATAAAAAGCTTACGTGTTTATGTATTTTGATCATGTATTTTGTGTAGTGAGACTAATATGGAGGCCACTCTAGGTAACAATGACATTTCTACCACTGATGTTAACATCTAGGACACTTCTGTTCCCTCCCCTCAACAGACAATGCTTCATTAAACTCACAGTTCAATGGCTTTATTCCACATGATGACATAGCCTGAGAGAGTAAATGATTCCACATTGACGATGTGAATGTTTCCTCTTTCGGTGCCCACATACAGCCATTTACTTTGGAAAGGCAGATGACAAAATGTTATCCTAAAAGAGAAAGGCACCAAAAAAAGGAATTAAAAATACTTTTTCAGATATCCTAAACTTCAAGGCCTATGTTGCCAAAAGGAAGAAGAAAGGCAGTAAGCTAACAGGAAGAAATACGACAAGCTACAGGTAGAGAAAAGTAGAAAAGCCAGTATGTGACAAAATGAAGAGATGCAAAGACGATATAAAAACCCAGAGTAAAACAAAAAACAGAAACCAAGGTATTCTAAATCTAGTAAGTCATTTAGATAATCACGCAACCCCCTTTGAAAAGTACCATAATGAATGTATTTGTTCAAGGTTACTGTCATTTTAAACTTAAAATACAATACTCTTATATTATAATCTATAAATGTCCTATCTAATTTCAAGTCTTAAAGAACAAAACATTTTTAAAGTAACCTTATGCAGATTAAGGTGGTTTCAAGTGAGGAGACAAAGGCAGAAAATAAAGCATAAGAAACATAAGTTTACATGTAACCAAAGTAATCACTAAGTAGTAAACCTAAACTCAATCCTAAACAATTACAAAAGTAGCTTAATTTTGCAGCTCTTTTACTTAAATAACGTTTTCATATTCTGCCTTAGAGTTTTTTCGTCTCCTAGAAAGAATTACCTGAACAAAATCCAAAAGCCAGTGAAGGTTTCTATCAGCAGAGAACTTCTTTGACCATAGTTACAGTGCAAGTGTTATTTGAAAGCTTGGTTATTTCTGTCCTCTTGGGTCCTGCTTATCATTTACTACTTCTTCAAAGTTTATAAGGAAATAATGTCTGTAGGAACTGAAGGTTTTGAAGTATCTGATTTTTCTATACAACAGAAATACTAACTAGAAAATAGAGTTTAGAAACTTTCTGGAAACTAAACTCTAAACTATTTTAATCTGACAGGGTCCAATAATGAAAGAAATTGCCGAACTCCTTGTACGATCAAACTTGGGCATTCATAAATGTTTCAGTCATAAGGTAAAATAATTACTCAATGGAAATTTTCTGTCAGCTCTAATCCTTAGCTTTACAGACTTTTTGTTCTTGTTTTCTCCCAGTTGGGCTCCCTTCTTGCCAAATCCATGCATCATTTCACAAGCCTATTAATAAATATTTATGCAAAGAACAGCTTTAGATCCTTTGCACTAGATGCTGTATATGCACACTTAACCTCAGCACAAAGGCTTACAGCAGCAATGAAAAAATTGCTAATGGCTGAGATGATGTTAGCTTGTATTACAGGTTTCAAAAGTTAAGATTTCTGTAGTAATACTACCTGCATCCAAAGTGTGCCACTTTTTCTATCACTTATTTCTTTCTAGTTAGGGAATGCAATTTACTCAAGCAGGTCTTTAATTTATCCATTTTCTAACTTCCTTGATTTATTGTGCTTGAATATTTAAGCCAAAAGGCTGCACTAAATGTTTTCATTCATGTTTCACAGAAACAGGACTATATGCAAGCCTTAAAATGCTCTTCCAACTCATTGAACTTACAGAGGTTGTAACATTTTTCCTAGGCACAGTAACCTGCAAACATTACAGGTTAAAGACTGAAGTTTCTCCAACATCCCCAAAAAAATATGTTATTGGAAGCTAAATCACGTAACTGTATACACACTTCCTAGGCAGGCACCAAAACTTTACTGCCCAAGAACAGAACTCTCCCACTACAAGCAGGTCATGAGGAAGGGGAAAGACAACCAGCATGAAAACATAAACCCTCAGTATTTTGCAACACCACAGGGTTTTCTTCTGTGCCAGCACTCCACGTGCCAGAAGCAGTTGGCAGACAGATCAGCTGGATCTAAAAATGTGGCCTAGCAGCCAGAAATAATATCCAGGAGCAGGGTCATGTGCCTATCTGTCTTGATCTGTGAGTTAATATTGTCAGTTACAGCTGTCCAACACTTTCATTATAAAAACCAATCTAATTCATGTCATTTAAAGGTGGATAAAAATATAAGTTGGGGCTGCAATCTTGAGTGCTATAGCAAAAGGGCAATACTTCAAGTGTCCAACTCCTCAATGTTCTTTGATACTATTCTTAAATATGCAGCTATATTCAATTTGCTGTCTCTTCTGTGCAAGTGAGATTAATTTTGTCAAGAATGCTCCATTGAAAATTGGACTGAGGATTAAAGGGATTCAAACTCATTTTGGAGGATGGAAACAAAAGGTCAGGGTCTTCTTGGTGGTGAGGCAGTGCTTGCTTATTTGAAGCTTGGCCAAGGACTGCTTATTTTTTCTCTGAAAAATGTTTTTTTTTCTTTCAGAAAAAAAAAATTTTCAGAAATCTATTTTTCTGCCACCATAAGATTAGAATAACATACTCCATCCGTAACATATTTTAAGATCAACAGAAGTTGAAGCTGCCATATAATGCTCTGGGCATTTCTACAGGTCAGGCATTTTTCCTCTCTCCCTACGCACATATGGATACATACATAAATGTGGAAAAATAAAATCAAGTGTTGGGAACAGATCAAAATGTACAGTCAACCCATGTAAGATATTTTCTGAATTCTTTCTTGCACAAACCCCAGCTGGCTGAAAACAACCTACCAGTTAAAAGCAGAGCACCATACTCTTCTCATGTACTAAACCATTCTGGCCAAACATAATGGAAGCATTTATGAAAAATAATAGACTAGTTTTGTGCATCTAAAGGAAAGAGACAGCCTAGGAGTGCTTGAGCCAGTGATCACAGAAAGCAGGCGTCTCTTTCATGGAGCAACAGATTCCTCAGGTTATGTCCAAAGAAACTTCAGCTAGTATAGCATATTTTGTGGTGCAGATTGAACTTTTAGCATAATGCAAGTATTGTGAAACAGCACTATGCCAAATATTTCACTTCCCCATACCTGTACAAAGAAAAAAAAACCCTTTATAGAAAAAAGCAATGCCTTAAAGAGACTTTCGGTTTTTAATCTGAAATCCAGTATGATTGTACTATATGGTAATATCACTGCTAAAATGAGGTACTGTTATGCAACACTCAGGGTAGTTCTAAACTCAAGCTGTACTTTTCCTTTAGCATAGCACCTTCCTCCTCACTGCATACGTATTTGCAAAGCTACTCCTTCAACTGTTGCCCCCTTTCAAAAAATAAAACAAAACCCCCAAATCATACCAACAACAAACCAAACCCAAAACAAAATAAATTTCACTTTCATTTCTATAAAATGGATTTGTAAGAGTTCAAGAAAACAAAATAGCTTGGTTGATATGCTGGAGGGAAGGGATGC